TCTCCACCCTTTCTAGCCCGAAATCTGTTATCTCACCAGGCTTCAGATCACTGACCTGGTACCATCCTGCCTATTTTGCCCCTTCGCATGGCCCTTCGCTCTTTCCTTTCCTCACGTCCTACGATAGCTTCCGTACTCAAAGTCCCGCCTTACAGCACTTCATGCTGGTTGGTTATTTTGGCTGTCGCTTACACCTATCAGTGGTCCTATTGGTCTAGCTGGCAGTCGCTTACGCGTTTTATCTAGGCGCTGAAGGAAATGCAAAATTGTTATTGGCAACACCACGTGGTCATCGCTGCCCGGAAATAAAAATAGAATAGGGGTCAGGCCTTTGCCCGTGGAGGGCGGGACTTAGGGGTGGGGACGCTAAAGGAGCTAGGTGGGAGGTCCCTAAGACTGTCGGGTGCCGCGTCCTAGTACTGGAGGAAAATGAAGGTGTGATTCTGTTTCATTCAAATACTAAAAAAAAGAAAAGAAAAAAAAACATTTAGGCAGAACCTCACAGTATAGCCCTGGAACTTGTTTATATAGGGCAGTCTGGCTTCGAACTCTGCCTCTTCCTACGGAGTGCTGGGATTCGAGGCGTGCGCTACCAGGCCTTGCTGCATTCTCACCCTGCCCTTGCGTGCTCTTTACTGTTTTCATTACTAAGGCTAATTCTAGGCAGGTGTCAGGGGCTGGTATTGGCGTCGCTGTAACCCTGGCTGTCCTGGAACACACTCCCTCCAACTCAAAAGATATGCCTGCCTCTGCCTCCCAAGTCCTGGGATTATAGGTGTGCGCTACCGCCCAGGTTGGCCTCTTAAATGTAAGGTTCAGGGTGAGTTTAAGACACCTTCCGTCCTACTGGGCGGTGGTGGCACACGCCTTTAATCCCAGCACGCGGGAGGCAGAGGCAGGTGGATCTCTGTGAGTTCAAGGCCAGCCTGGTCTACAAGAGCTAGTTCCAGGACAGACTCCAAACCTACAGAGAACCCTGTCTTGAAAAACCAAAAGTAAAATAAAATAATAATAAAAACCCCACTTTCCTTCTACTAACACCCCTGCCCCAGTCTCTGGGATGGTTGACCCAAGATACTGCCCCAAACTGGGATTTATTTTGCAGCAGAAGGTGAAGACGATGTTTGTCAGTATTAACAATAGCAGGGTGCGGAACCTTTGTTTCTAGTGTAAAGGGTGAAATTACTTAAGCTTCTTAAAAATTAAAAACCTCTTCCTGCTCCACCTCCCTCCAGAAGAACACCACTCCTCAGTGATCGGCCCGGAGGAGAAGATTAAGTAGGGTTACCTTGTTCTCACTTTGGGTACTAACAGAATGCTATCTTATTTCTATTTCAGTGCCCCTCCAGCCTTTGCGGTGCTGGGGAAAACTGCTTCTGAACTAATCATCTGGGGTCTTTTAAAAAGTTTTTACTATCATTGTAGGTGTGGGAAGGAGGTCAGTTCTCTTCTTTCATGGGAGTCGACAACTCGGGTGGCAAAGGCTTACCTTTTACCTGTTGAACCATCTCACTAGCCCTGGGATACTTTAGTGTATAAATTATGATCCAGCAGGTTTGCATGGGGCCTGGGTTTTCAGCTGTGACTGGGAGGCATGCTAAACCACAACTGGCCATATTTTACCCCACAAACTCTTTCCTAATCTCTTAACATGCGGGGAACATGCAGTGTGGCCTAGTGTAGAGCACTGGTCTAACACTGAGAATCTGGGTTCATATCCCAGGACTGAAGAAACAAAGCTATTAGTTGGGTACAGTTTCAGAAAGGTGAAGGTGTGCCACACAACCTTAAAATGCTACAGTGAATGTAAGACCAGTCTAAAAACAAAAGAAAAAGGGATGGGGAATGGGTGTGACCAGAATGTATTACACTTTTTTTTAAAGATTAATTTACTGTGTGTACATTGTTCTGCCTGCATACCAGGAGAGGGCACCAGATCTCATTACAGATGGTTGTGAGCTACCATGTGGTTGTTGGGAACTGAACTCAGGACCTCTGGAAGAACAGCCAGTGCTCTTAACCTTTGAGTCACCTCTCCAGCCCTATTATATACTTTTTAAAAATTGTTAGGCTGGGAATGGGTAGCGCACACCTTTAATCCCAGCACTCAGGAGGCAGAGATCAGCCTGGTCTATATAGTAAGTTCCAGGACAGCCAAGGCCACATAATTAAGACCCTGTCCCAAAATGAGCAAATAGTCTAAAAGAATATATTAATAAAAAGCAAAAAAATCCCATCACCTACCTGTATTAGTCAGTGTTCGCTAGAGTCACAGAATCTGTGTGTGTGTGTATAGGAATTTATTGGAATAAATTCTGCCAAGGTGAGAATGCAGCAAGGCTGCAGTCCAACAAAGCCTAGTTGTGAATGGAATGTCCAAGACTCTAGGAGCTGCTCAGTTCTGTAAGGCTGGATGTTGGGATCTTGAAGAAGGAATGGATGGGCTGAGGGAGGTGGGCGCATGCAGGCTAAGAACACCCTTCTTCCATATCTGGGTTATAGTTCATTCCAGATAGTCAAGTTGACAACCAGGAATAGCCATCACACCACCCAGCACCCATTTGTCTAATGACCAACTGCCTACCTAATATATGGTACTTACTTGTATTGCATTAAAAGTGATGTTTGACTTCTTCCTAAGCATGTGCATATTAGAACCATTGATGAACTTGTTAACATACTGCTGAGCCCAATTCTCAGGAGACCATGGAACAGTGTGCCCAAGAATTTGCACTTTGAACATTTCTAGGCAATGCTGGTATCATTTGGTTTGTGAGTAGAGGGGGCTTGGTGAAATGATTCAGCAGTTAAGAGCACTTATGGCTCTTATAGAGAACCTGGGTTAGGTTCACAGCATCCACATGGTAGCTCACAACCATCTATAACTTCATTTCCAGAGGATCTGCTGTCCAGACACATGATAAACATATGGTATGTGCAGGTAAAATACCCATACATACAACACAAATCTGAAGCTTGGCATAGTGGTGAACACCTTCGGTCTCAGTGCTCGAGAGGAAGAGGCACGGTCCGGCTTGGTCTACATAGAGATCCTGTTGCAAGAAAACCAAATGAATCAAAAATTTTTTTCTGTGTATGCATCTTTTTGAGACAAGGTTTCTCTGTGTATCCCTAGCTGTCCTGGAACTCGCTCTGGACACCAAGCTGGCCTTGAACTTGGGAGATCTGCCTCCCTCGTTTTTGGGATTAAAGGTGTGTGCTACCACTGCTGGGCAAAATTTAAAAAGTGACAGTTGAACTAGGAATAGAACAACAGCCATGCAGTGGTGGTGCACACCTTTGATCCCAGCACTTGGGAGGCAGAGACAGGTTGATCTTGAGAGTTCAAGGCCACCCTGGGCTACACAGAGAAACCCTGTAACCTCACCCCACAAAGACAAGAACAATGGGTGGATGTGGCAATCTTCCTTATATAAGTGTATGCTATTATTTGGTGAAAAAAATGTTAAAAAAATGTTAAGCTCAATAGTGGGTGTGTGTTTATGTGGCATAGCACACCTGTGGAGGAAGGACAAGCAGTGCAGGTCTCTGCTTGCACCATTGGGTTAAAGAGGTTAGGTGGCAGCAGGAATGCCCACTTACTTGCTAAGCCACCTTTAAAAAACATTTTTTAATATTTATTTATTTATTATGTCTACAATATTCTGTCTATGTGCATGCCTGAAGAGGGCACCAGGCCTCATTACAGATGGTTGTGAGCCACCATGTGGTTGCTGGGAATTGAACTCAGGACCTTTGGAAGAGCGGGCAATGCTCTTAACTACTGAGCCATCTCTCCAGCCCCCTTAAAAAACATTTTTGTATATAAATGCTTTGTCTGTGTATACTTTGTACAGCGTATGCACCTTTGGAGTTATGGACGGTTGTGAGCCCCTGGTGGTTGCTGGGTTGAAGGTAAATCTGCAAGAGGAGCCAGTGCTCTTACTGCCTAATCAACTCTTCTATCCTGAGCCACCTTTGCTGTTTTGTTTTTTGGACAGAGTTTCTTTGTGTAGCCTTGGCTGTCCTGGAAGTTGCTCTGTAGAGACCAGGCTGGTCTCTGACTCAGAGAGCCACCTGCCTCTGCCTCCCAAGTGCTGGAATTAAGGGTGCATCCCACCGCCCGGTGGCTTCTAGTTTATGCCAGGCATGTTTGATCTCTGTAGAGATCACAAGAGAGTGTTCATTCTCCTGGAATCGGAGTTACAGGCAGTTGTGAGCACCCCAACATGGGTGCTGGGAACTGAATTCAGGTCTTCTGAAAGTGAAGTGGGGCTCTTACCTGCTGAGCCATGTTGTCAGTCACGCCAAAGGGTTACTCTGTGGGGAATCAGTACTTTCAACTTCCAGATAGTTCTGATATTCAACCCTACTTGAATCTGCTCCATTAGTCGCTGCTCAGTGCAGGCACCTACAGCAGCCTCACACTCCACCCCCGCCTGTCTTTTCATGCTCTTCAAGTGCTGAAACTATGTAAATGGAAACTTTCAACTGTAGGAAAGTTCATCTGCTTGGATGAGACAAGGTTGCCCCAATAAAACCATTATCTTAGGTTAGATATCAGAGTAAAATTCATTTCAGCAAAATTTTTTTTAAAGATTTATTTATTCACTGTATCTTGTGGTTTTGCCAGCATGTATATGAGGGTATCAGATCCCCTGGAACTGGGGTACCAGACAGCTGTGAGCTGCCATGTGGGTGTTGGGAATTGAACCTGGGTCCTTTGGAAGAGCAGCCAGTGCTCTTAACTGCTGAGCCATCTCTCTAACTCCTCAACAAATGTTTTCACAGTAAGTCCAATTAAAATAGATTACAAATTAGTTATTACAATATCCATGTAAAGCTCCTATTGCAAAGAGCCATGTTTTCACCACCCACCCCAAAGGCACAGAACCAGAATGATTTCATAGTATCACCTTGGTTGCAGGAGGGCAGATGGCTCAGAGGGAATGAAAGGGGCACACACTGATATGGGGACAGGACAATCTTATAACCACAGCTTTAAATTATAATAAAAACTTCCTTTAATAGAAGCTCGTAACATGGAAGAGATTTGTCAGATAAAATGTAGAGTTTTCCAACACACTGAAATAAAAGCCGATAAGTCACCATAAATACAACGCCCAATAATAAAAACCACAACAGCAAATTCACACGGTCCCTGTAACAGCCATGATCTGATTTCACATGATTTTGAAAGACGGCAAATATGGCCTGGTGGATACAGAGCGCTCTAGGGCTTTGAAGTCACTCATCTGACAGGGTTGTGGCATTGGTGGCTCAACTCAAGAAGTAAAGCAAGTCCCAGCACTTCAGTGTATTGAACATCCTTTAAATATCAAAGTGAGAAATAAGAAAACATAATCAGGCCATCAGAGACGGCAGGAAGCAAGGACAGCTGTGTAAAGAAAGCTTGTGGCTGAAGGGTGGCTCGCCAGCTTCATTTCTTTGGCTTCTTGGGTAGTGGCCGCCGGAACAGTAAGATGTGAGGTTCTGAAAGAATCAGCGACAGCTAAGAAGGGAACCAACACCATTCAAGCACAGTCAATAGTCACCCCCCCCCGCCCCGCCACACCCACAGCTTCACAACCAAAGTAAGACAGAAACAGACAGCCTTAGCAGCAGCCCCTGAAGTCTGACCCTTCTGCCATGTACAGAATTTCTTTCTATTGTTTGTCTGTATTAGTTTTGTCCGGTAGCTGGGTGTCTGGTATCTTACCAAGAAACAAAGCTGCCTGTGCTTGTTTGGAACACATCCAGCTATCTGCAGAGGCCACAATCAGGTGTATGTGGTCTTGAAAAGAGTACCCACCAGCTTAGTTAAAGACGACAGAGTCTTCCTAGATGTTCTCACTCTCGTTCTGTCACTCTAGTTCCTTTGCACAGTGAATGCGGGAAGGAATCCTGTAAGTGATGCCCCCCTCCCTCCATCGCTTTGGCTTATAATCTTCCTTCAGCCAGAATGGAGCTTCCTTATGTTGCACTGACCTGGTTCATGGATCATATAATGGACCCATCCCTGACTCTGCTGAACACCAAGATTTCTCCATTCAGATTCAGACATCAAATGGGTTTTAGGGACCAGCTTGGCTATGTCCTTGGGCAACATGACGTGCCTGTAACAGAAACATGGGGATGTGAAGAGCTCGTGTTAGACACTGACCTGTATTATATACAAAGACGAGTAGAGGAAGAAAACAGCTCACACTGTAGTTCTGACGCTCACAGGGGTATGGCCGGAGCATCACAGGGCTTTGAGGAATTCTGGGCTACAGAGAATCTATGAAGACAAGCAAGTTGTCAGGCATGGTGGTGCACGCCTTTAATCCCAGCACTTGTAGGCAGAGGCAAGTAGCTCTCTGAGTTCCAGTTCAGCCTGATCTACAGGTTCCAGGCTACACAGAGAAACCCTGTCTTAGGAGAAAAGCCAAAAAAGTAAACCAGGAACAACAAAACCAAACGAAACCAAAAAAAAAAGAAAAAAAAAAAACTAAAGCAGTAACTAGTTCCTGATATCAGATTTTTTTTTAAATTTATTTTTTTGGTTTTTCAAGACAGAATTTCTCGGTATAGCTTTGGAGCCTGTCCTGGAACTCTCTCTGTAGACCAGGCTGGCCTCAAACTCAGAGATCTGCCTGCCTCTGTCTCCTGAGTGCTGGAATTAAAGGCCAGTGCCACTGCTCAGTCAAATCTGTATAAATCTTATTGTGAAATATTGTGTAGTAGAGGCAGCTAGAAACACAGGTTTTGTAAATTTTTATAACAGAATATTAAAAACAAAATGAATGGACAATTTGAATGTCCAATCATAACAATCTGTTATCTGGATAACAGAACCTGATGATATCTGTGTTTCCTCTGATCACCCATTTTACCCACTCTCGGACTGGTTAGGAAGAAGCTATACCATGGTGTGGGGTATAGAGCAGGCATGGAGAAAACATAAATGTTCACAATGAATTCATTTTCCAACCCTTTTCCCCTACTTTTTGGGACAGGGTTCCCTGTGTAACAGTCCTGGAACTCAGTTTGTAGAAGAGACCAGGCTAGCCTCTGGTTCTGGAGTGCGCATGCGCCACCACTGTCCGCCCGTTTTCCACCTGTTAAGGAATTTGCTGTGACACTTGGGAAATCGCATGCTTTCCTAACCAAAGGTCAATGGTAAAAGTTACCTGACTTGACTCAGAATACCTCAGGTAGAGTTTATCAAGCTCGATGAAAATGTACTAAATGCTACCTTTGTAGTAATAACAAGAGTCCCCACCCCATAATTCTAGTCCAATGTCAGGGAAGAATTTACATTCTAACAAGTCCCAGGCACAAAAAAATGAGACTTCAAAGCACAGGACCCCTCCCCCCAAAACAAACAAACACAACCTTCCTTTAAGCAGAAATGCGGCTGCTAAGCTACAAGTGACATCTTCTTGGAGATGAAGCTACTGATTTCTTCCCAACCATGTAAATGTTGTAAGTATGATGTTTCATTCACAGGCATGGAAAACAGCTGAGAACCAAAGTTAACTGGCTTCAGGGATGTGGCTGTTTATCCCAGCCTGACCCTGCCTAGTTTCTGAGATCCAGGTGATGTCAGTAAAATGGTGTGGGATTTTTCTTGCCAAAAAAGACTGTTACATACTTGTCAATACACACCAATTTCCCAGCTTGCCCAAAGGCCTGATACAGGACAGGGAAGAGATGCAGAAAAGCTAGTTCTCATTTTATGTTCTGTAGTCAAGGAGCACAGACACATATTAGGTTAGGCTTTAAATATTAGAAGTGGGGGCTGGAGAGATGGCTCAGAGGTTAAGAGCACAGGCTGCTCATCCAGAGGTCCTGAGTTCAATTCCCAGCAACCGCATGATGGCTCACAACCATCTACAATGAGATCTGGTGCCCTCCATGCCAGAACACTGTACAATTAATAAGTAAGTAAGTAAATAAATAAATACTACAAGCGACGCAGACCAATGTAATATCAACCCTGGTAGAATCTCATCTTTTCTCATTCTCAATTTAAATTCACGGACTAGTACCATCACACCCAAAGCTTGCACATTCTGTGCAAGGATGTCTCACAATCCTTGGCAGAGAGCCAGCATCTTAGACTCTGTCTCACTGTTGTTTCTCTTCCCCGTGTTCTAAGGGTCTCCTCTAGCAACGTTTCCTCAACCGTCCCCCTTCATCGAATCTCTCCTCACACCCGTACTCAGCTGTCCCAGGAGTCAGCTTAGTCCATGGATTTTTAGGTCCGTCACTGCCCACTCTGCTGTCTCGAGACAGGGTTCCATTCTGCAGTCCAGGCTGGCTGGAACTTGTGACAATCTTGCAGCCTTGACTTTCAGAATGCTCAGAACAAAGGTGTGAGCTACCGTACCGGCTTCCCATGCACCTTAACAGAACACTTGAAAACTGTCTGCACGCCATAAATGCTCAAGTAGCTGAGCTACGTCCAGTCTTCATGCCTCTATCTAAAACAAGGCGGACAACCACGGTCCTGCTCGTTTCTCATGAACTAATAATCAACACTGAAGCTCTCACAGAACTGTCCTTCATTGAGAGCACAAACTTCCAGCTCTGCTTTGGCTACTTTCTTTATCCCAGTAGACTTTGGAAGCGATCACTTCCTATTAGGAAAATTAACCTGAACCAACAAAGTTGTGAGACTGATGTGAAAATTCCAAAGGTGAAACTGATCAGAACTCCAACACGCTTCTATTTAATACCCGG